CACACACACACACACACACACACACACACACACAAACACACACACAAACACACACACACACACACAAACACACACACAGATAATATATTACTATGCAACATGCCATGACTCATCCCCAGAAAAACAGCGACGACAACAGTTCTATGATCAACTGAGTGAACTTTTAAATACCGTGGATGGCAAAGATAATGTGACAATCATGGGGGACTTAAAGGGCAGAGGGGAAACAAGGAAGCCAACGTGAGAAAGATATATGGGACCACAGAGTGACAGAGAAATAGATCAAAACAGCAATGGAGAAATGACATTACAGTTGTGCGCAGAAAATGTCCTTTCAAATACCTTCTTCCTGCACAAAAGGAGTCAAGTTAAAACTTTGTGCAAATGGAATGACCTAAAGACAGCATCTCAAATTGATTTTATCCTGGCCAAAAGATCAAAACTGAGAAACATCAGATACTCAAGAGTGATACCCAACTACATCATAGACACTGTCCACAGACCAATCATAATGACTATCGTCACACTATACAGAAAAATGCAGAAGCAAGAAAACAACGAGAAGTCGAGAATCTCAGAAATATAAATGACGATACCAAAGGTAAGATACATGAACGTATGAAAGATGTATTTCACAAATTGCCCAAACAACCAGGAGACATTGAAGAGGAATGGAGCCACTTCAAAGCATGTGTGAACAGAGCATTAAAAGAAGAGTGCAGCACCAGGAAAACAGGGGCGGGGCATAAAATAAAAGCAACTATATGGGGGAGTGACTAAATAAAAGAAGCCATCTAGTTGAAGAAAAAGACATTCAAAAAGTAGCAGAAATCAAAGACAGAGGAAGATTACAGAAATGAACGCCGCCAAACTACAAGGGTAGTAAAAGAAGCTAAGAAGAGACCCTGAGCAGTATATGGAGAACAGCTGCAGCTGGCAACAAAAAGTAAAGAAGACCCCCAGGGAGTTTAACAAGAGGGTTAAAAGCACGAGGATGGGGGTAGAACCATTCAACCCAACTGAAATAGTCAAAGATGAGAACGGAAACCTTATTTTCAGTAAACTAGAGATTAAGGAAAGATGGAAACGCTATTTCCAGGAGCTGCTGAATCCTACAGGAGAGACAACACCAAAAAGCTTCTCACCATGAGAAACCACACCAGAACCATCAATACTGCTGAGTGAAACACAACATGTAATAAAGAAAAAACCCACAAACAAAGCACAAACATAGCAGCAGAAGAGATCAAGCTATGCAGCCATATCGGTGAACTCTGGTTATGGAACATATTTAACCTGGCCTGGACAACAAAAACAACAGCTGATGACTGGCAGCGAGCTGTCATTATACCTATTTGGAAAAAGAAAGGTAACAAAAGAGACTGTGGAACCTACAGAGGAATATCCCTTCTCAGCCATGTGGGTAAAATGTTTGACAAGATACTGGAAATGAGAAAGAGACCAACTGTAGAGACTCAACTCAGAGGCGTTCGACCGGGGAAATAGATGCCAGATTTGGGAAGTCTTAGAGTCATATGGTATAACAGGACAATTGCTGGAGAACATCATGAAACTTTATAAAAATAGCCGGTGTGCCGTAAGATCAAATGAAGAACAGTTACTATCGGACAGGTTCTCCATCAGGTCTGAGGTGAGGCAAGGGTGTGTTCTCTCTCCGCTTCTCTTTATCACCAACAAGGATGAGATCGTGAAAGTGGCAAATGACAACATCACTGAACTAAATGAGCTTCTATTTGCTGATGAACAGAGTATATTAAATACAAATGAAGAGAAATTACAAAACACACCTCAAAACTAAATGAGGAATGTAAACACCCTGAACAGGAAAAATCTCCATCTCAAAAACAGAAGTTATGAAGGTCAGCAGAAACTCAGGGAAACTCAACATTCTTATTGATGGAACACAGCTCCAAGTAGTAGGGGCATATAAATATTTGGGAAGCATATTCACACAAGATGAGCGTATGGACAAAGAAATAGAAACAAGAACTATGAAGGCAAAAGCAGTGGCCTACCAGCTAGCACCCCTGATCAGTCACAAGAACATCCCAACCGAAGTGAAATCCCAGCTCATCGATAGCATCTTTGTACCAACATTAACTTTGCCGTGCTATACATGGTCTCTAAACAAGGCACAAGAAAGTAAAATCAATGAATACGAAATGAGGTGTCTCCCCAAAACCATCAACGTCACTAGACCAGACCGCATAAGAGACGAAACCGTACGTCTACAAACTGGAATACCACCAGTAATAAAATTCATAGAGCGTCAAAGATTCAAATTTTAATGGTTTGGACATCTAACCAAAATGTCCAAGAAACAACTAGCGGTTAGAGCTTACAACACCCGAGAATCCGGCTTCAAATCAAGAGGAGGACCAAGAAGGACATGGCTGGATAGGTTAAAAAGGTCATGGAACAAGACGCAACACACTTAGCACAGGATCGAAACCTGCACATCCCCTCGACATCCTAAGGAGATAAGAGGACGGACAAGTTCTAAAAAAAAGTAAAGTAAAAATAGAAAGAGTCAGGAGTAAGGGGGGGCAGTGGGGTGGGGGTGGGGTGGGGAGATGGTGGGAGAGTGGATTGGAAAGCAGATGACAGAAAATGGCAAGGGAACAGGAAGGTAGAACAAAAGAAAATATTCTATAGAAAGAAAACTGACAGGGATTTTTTAACTCATGGGTGAGCGCTGGACCTCTTAGACGAAATGTGCCAGGTGGCAAATCATGTAGTACCAATGTTGTCTGTTACAAAAACTGTCGTTGAGGAACTGTTTTGTTAGGGCATGTGTGGCCATCTATATGCGATTCCTGCTACCTTTGGTTTGCAATTTTATTGAAGAAAACTTAACAACAACACAATAACAACAACGATTACAATACAACAACAATAACAACTACAACAACAACAACAACAACAACCACTATACATGTATGTCTGTGTTTTGATGAGATTTACGCCAGTCAAAAAATTTGGGTTTTCACAGACTTTGCCTTCGGCTATAGAGTAGATTGCAATTAGCCTTGCTTTTTTATCTCGCATTATTTGATCTGAGTTCATGTTCATGGCAATGGCTTCATGGAAGATAAAATAATGCAATCAACAGCCCTGTCTGACTTATAGTGGTTAGTTTCAGGAAGGACTTTGTGTGAATTGATGTGTTCTGCAAAAGTTGTTGTCTTGTAACAAAACAGCAAAACGTGTACACTGGCTTTTTCGTGTAGCGGTTAGGTGCTTCGCTGTAACACGCAGGAGACCCGACTTTGATTCTTGAGCGGGAAGAATTCAAAATGAGTATCTAGGTCTTTCTGCAAGGATGTTGTATCCCTTTCAGCCCAGGTTGGTCATGACAGGCAGGGTCGGTAGCTCCCCTCCTAAATGATCTAAATTAAAGTGTGTCGATTGGGGTGTAAAACACGTTAATTGAAAATACAATTAAGTGAAAAGTGTACTCATTGCAAGATGCTTGTGCAAATACAATAAGTTGCCTGCGCTTGAAAGGTGATGTTGTTGTACTGAAATGTACTGTTTGGTTATATACAGTTCGACTCCACTTGTGTTGAACTCGCTTGAGTTGTTAAACTTGCTTGAGTTCAAGTTCGGTTAAGCTAATCCTTTTCTCGGGTCATAGCACCTCTTCTTCTTTACCTTTGAGTTACGGTTGAGACGAGTTCAATTTGTTCGTAAATATGCATGAGATGAAAGTACTTTTTAACAACAGACTGCAAGTATATCAAAGGTTGTACTGATTTTTTTTATAATGTGTAACGTCAGATGATTCACCACAGTCTTGACCTTCGTGAAACTTAACGTAAAAGTATAATTATGTAGAGCTGGTCAGCTCGCAACAACAGGCTTACATAACACCTCAATGAAACAGCGAGGATAGCGCTACAGCGGAAGTACATGTGCATGTATTTGACGACTCGACGCATGAACCACGTCCCTTGTTGCTTGCCCTCTCCTCTAGGTCAAAGGGTATGGATCATCACAGAACCATGCCGAGTGTTATAATATCCCAGACTATGCATCTGACGTACTTCCTATTCACTATGGAGAGTGCCATTCGACTCTATTTGGAACCAAGCGAAGGGCAAGGGGGGGGGGAGGTTGCCCACGAAATCGACAATTGCGAGACTGGACGTTTTGTCCTTCCCTTGCATATCCACTGTAAAGTTTTATACAGAACAAAGAGCGGCGGTCATACCAGTGCCCGGTCTAGGAGATCATAATTCAAGTCTATAAGTCTGTGCCACACTTACTTCTTCTCCTCCAGACCAGCACAATCACCACGACGACCACGACGACCAAGACGACGACGGCAACAGCGACACCAACAGAGGCGACCACAGTGACGTCAGAGTTGTCCGTGCTCGCCTCAGGGCTCAGTGGAAGAGCTGTAGATAGATAGATAGATAGATAGATAGATAGATAGATAGATAGATAGATAGATAGATAGATAGATAGA